CTTTTCTTCATAGGATAAATTACTTACTCATTGAAAATACAACGATTATGGAAAGCAAACTGTAATATATATATATATATATATTGCAAAATTGCGTACAAAGGCTTTAGAGTTGCCAGGGGGCTGTGTCAACTACAACTGGTCAAATGAACATTTTCTGCGGAGAAGGGGGGGGGGGGGAAAGATTACTCAATTCCTCGTGTCTCAAAGGCACTTTACTACATGTCTTGACCTCGATAGTCCGGTTATCACGCTAACTTACTCAAACAATAATCACATTTTTATACTCTCCGTCTGTTCAGTTTATGTGAAAAGTCCACTTTTGGTGGCCAACGCACCCATTTCCTGAATTTAACAAAGACTATGTAAAAAGTTTAAGCATTGAAATTATGCAATCATCCTTGGTAGGCGGAAGACATTTTGATCTTCTCCTTCGAAATTCGCAGTTTTTAATTTGACCTTGGTTGTTAACGCTTATATGCTTACATCCGTCATAATTGACCCTCAGTAATAATGGTTGGCCATTCTTTGTCTAATATTTGAACTGTGTACTTATTTGATGCGATGTCCTTTCACATTTTGCTGTTTGCATAGCTATCTCTGAAATTCAAACCTTGCCAGTGTTTAACCAGGTTTATTAAAAACGTCTATTAAAGAATCGGTGTGCATCCCAAAGAAGCAGTGACCAGAGATTCCTCCTTCCCCCCAGCCACTCTCTAACTCAAAGTCAACGGACACGATGATACTTCTCAAACCAATTTGTAAGGGGGTATTTTATGCTCACTTAAGGCGATGAATGATACCATTAAGCCTTCTTGTTGAGGGATTCTAATTCTACCTTCGACACTTTCCAGATTGAGCCAGTGCAGTAGACATTTCACTCACTGGTCAGCGTCAATGAGCATCGAACCCGTGCAGACGTGAAGACTGACCACGTCACCATCGTCACATTTTTCTCGAGCAATATGTCCCACTATGCTGATTAAAAAAATGCTTGAGATAAAAGCGGCATATGCCGCTTAAAATTTATCTCTTTGTAAGGGGAAGTGAGCTATCAATTGAGACATGGTTTAAAAGATTATCTTTAATGGGAAGCCATTTTATCCATCTCAATAGAGATTCAAGATTTCGAATTAAACTTTCGAATGTTTCCGACACAGAAACAGTTTAGGACTAATAAACAAATATAGAACCTTGGAACTTTTTGTAAAGCTCTGACTTAGTTATAATTTGTTTTAACTTATCACACACGATGGATATATCTATTTGGACTTGAATTAAGCTTTACAGTGTGAATTTTCTCACGGCTTCCTGAAGGTTACTGACGAAAGGTTTTGTTTACTTACTTCTTTTCTGGTTAATGGACTATTTCAATTTCATTTTCAGTTGCCAACAGCTTATGTGCGTAACGTCGTCTTCCATGTGAAATCATAAATAACATTTCTCTTCCGAAATAACCGTTCTAAAAACCCCAAATATTAAAAGTACCTGTTTTGAAATATACATTCAATTTCTTAGGAAATCAAGACAAGAATTTCATCCAAATCTGTTTGGCATAATGCCATTTTAACAGCGTTTAATGTGATAATATTTAAATCTCTATGAACTTTATACAACTTATTAAAGATATATTTTTGTTTTATAGGCTATTAATAGCTAAAATTATGTCATAGTTTATGGAAATAAAAGAGGAATTTCTTCGAGTGTAGCCTTAACTTTTGGAAAAGTTAATCGATTCTGCAAAGTTTTGTTTGAGTGTTTTTCTCGAGGTCTACTGAAGCATTCGGAGTTACAATCGGGCTGATGATTTCTCTATTTAAAATGAATCCAGATGGATCTCTGTTGGATCCGTCTGGAAGATATGTTTGTTCTCCTGGGACGTAGATACTTGTAATGACGTCACCTAGTGCCTAAAGGGAGAAGAATGAAGAAGTTCTCACACTATCTTCTCCCTTCATAACACGAAAAGCTGTTCCTGCACATTGTCAACAAATACCTCATTCAGGCACTTTGAATTGGGTAATGATTTAAGATGTTATTGAATGTAGTAGAAGAGATCTGAGTATTGTTTTTGACACCAATAACTGAGTATCGAGTACCTGGAACAGGCTCTTAATGATGGCAACTGTCGTTGCTGATCACGTAGTGGATAACAAGCGAAAAGTTAACTCAAATCCGGAAACAGTGACCATAACGTTTGGAGGGATTTCATCATGGTGGACGATGGACGAGTCCTAAGGGAGGTATGATTACAGCAACTTTCCATATATCCCTTTTGAGAGGAACATTTTATTTACCTTGTGGTAAAAAATGGATGTGGCTGGTGATTGTTGCCTGGGGATTATAGGATAGATGACTAGTTGCACTAGAATGGCTTTAGTCATGAAAGGTTCCCAAGGGTGCATGAGAATATGCTATTTAGTATAAATTTTTAATATCATTTTTCCTTTGGACTAAAATAATTTACTTCATTGAAACATATATGTGAAGAATGAATTTCTATTATCCATATTAATTTAATTCTTTTTTGTGATTTTTGGTCGAAGATTTGTTTTAGTATTCTTAATTAATGCTCCAAAGATTGCAATTTTTAGTTTAGATAACTTATCTTAACATAGTTAATGACGATATCACTTAATTTCTTTTCATAATAAGTTATTAATTAAATTAATGCCTTAAAATATTTTGGAAAATATTTTTATTTTTTTGTCATTGTTGGTGAATTTTAAATGGTCCCAAGCCTACCTGCCTAAAAACGTTAATCTAAATCTCTACTGGAAATATGCACAGCTTATTTTTCAGTAAGGAATTATTTCGTTTTTTTTCTAATTTTAAATTAAATCTAGTTGACTTTCATCTAATTACCAGCAATCACAAGTGCCTGGTAGATTAATTCGATTTGTAAAGAGCTCCTTTATATAAATTTTACTCATTTTTTCCCATTTGATTTTTTTTGCCAAGCATATGCAATCATCGTTGAATGAATGCGAAATCATATTTTTTAGTATGACTTATAGTACCACATTTTTTAAAAGTCATTTTAAATATATCTAGAGTAGTCAACTCTCTAAATTATTTTCATCATGTTAGAAAAGTTTCGATTTTCTGCCTAATAAGAATATCAAATTTCACACTCGCTTTACAAACTGAGGTGATTTCATGTTCAATTGGATAAGGACCTTTTTTTCTTGTTCGTTCTCTGGGAAAAGACGAATTGCATTAACCACTGGCAGGATTTAAATAAACATTAAATTCTAAAAGTCAAGTCATCTACGTTAGGTAGTGTTTCTTAACATTCTAAATTAAGTAGATTGTAATAATATTTGCTCACTTCGTTTTATTATTTAAACATTTTTTTGGCCTATTGGTGCATTCATTTATTCCAATTAACAGGGTCTACTGAATGAGTACTTTAATACATGGAGCACCGATTCATTGGACAAGCATCTGTCATTCACATATAATTGCTCCTGTTGGATACTGCCTAATGATAATCTCATGTTCTACACTCGTCCTGCAGTTTGGAAGAAATTTGGGAGTCAAGTGAAAGTGGCGCACTTTGCAGGCCTCGAGAAACCATGGAAACATAGGTTGTCTGCGAATGATGGAGCCATTTGTCAAGCACTTGATCGATTGGAATCCTCGGACACTATCTACACCACTGCTGAGCAAAGTGGAATTGTTGCTCTTTGGTGGGCTGTTTTCTTCAAGAGGGTCAAGAACCGGCTTGGTAATGGCATGGTAAGTTATGCAGACTTTACTCTACACGACACCGTCTTACTTTATTTCTTATTATGAAATTAACGTTTTTAAACACCCACTGTAATCGTTTTGAATCATGTTCCTATTCGGAGAATCAGTATGTAATTGTTCCATTTACTAGCAAGAGAAAATGAAGGAAATAATAAATTTAATGAGAAATCGATGGATAAAGTTGAAATCACTAAATTGAGTTTCATTTCAGAAAAGAACAAAAGTGCCCTTTCTGCATTCGAACGCGCAGTAATTTGCCTATTCTTTGGTGCTCTATCTCCTCCTTTTGCCATGTTTGTTGAAGGGCCAAAGAAAAATCGATAATAATCGCACCAATATTGGACATTGGAATGCGCAAAGCAAAAATAATTAGAAAATAAAAGTACTCTCAAAATTCGATTTACAGGCAAAAATTCGTGGGAAATTACTTTGGGAGAATCAAAAATTCAAATGTTTTACCAAATGAAGGCAGTTTAATAGGGTGGAAATTGAGTAAAGTGAAGGGTAATTTTGTTAATATAATTTCATTTTGAGGGTAATCTCCACTTATTTGAATAAGGAGCATCAGAAATTGCCATCTAATTAATTTTAATTTTAGAACACATTTTATCTATTTTAAGAGAAGTTATTTCTAAAAGAAGGAAATCTACCGGAATATTATCGTGAATTTAATGCCCGAGATATCATTATCATCATAAAAAGGAGAATTCTGCTTTTGCATTGCTCAATTCAAGAAATGGTTTTTGTCAATGATTCTTTCTAGTCATTGAGTTTGTCATTAATTTTTAAATTATCAAGTTTTCGGGTTGGCAAACAGATTTTTCCCTGAAGCATGTACCATTAAACCTCCAGTTTATATATTTTAAAGACAACGGATTCAGAGCTCATGTTTTGGATTTACAAACGATGGTTTTAACTAGATCAGTAACATGCATCCTTACAATTGTTAAAGAAAGAGAGGCCTCTTGGAAGGGATAGTCGACGATACTTACAACTATTCATATTCATGTTAACGAATGACATTAGGCGGGCTGAGATATGTGATTGAACAGTTTTCTTATATCTTCAGTTCCTTTCAACAACATTTGAGCCTATTCCTCCACCTCCACCACCTCCATCTCCTCAGGACAACCGCCCTGAGGACCAAGAATTTCGGAACCAAAATGAAAGGTATCACCCCGAATTCGATGACAATTCATTCCATTTCCTTCACACCAATCAACGGGTCGACGAGTCTAATCGATACGAGAAGTATCACGAGTTCTTCGAGCCTCTGAAACAGCCAGAACCCGAGCATCACAAGTACTACGAATCGCTCCACCATCAATCCCATGGCCATCAACCACCAGTGTACAATGAGCATCACCAATGTCATCACAATGAATGTCATTACCAGCCCCCGCAATCCGAACCCCCTTCGTCGTCGCAACCACAGTCCGAACGTCATGATTTTCATCACCAACACCATCAAGAGAATAGGCATGAGGAGCCTCAGGAATGGAGTCAAGACCCACCACAGCGGCCACATTCAGAACACCATAATCAATCGGGTAGGTAGCTATGTGGATTTGGGTTTCTACTCAAATTCATTCGAGAGTGTGTTTGCATAGGTTCGAAAATCTACTACACAACTCTCAACTGAAGAGAGGAAAGAAGAAATATTGCCTTCCATTAATCCCTCTTTTCATTGAGTACCGCCTAACTCCGTGATTTGCAGAAATGAATCAATTGTGTTCGTGCTATTGTACCGTAGCTCATGGAAGTAGCGATTTGGTACATACTACAGAAGGAGCCAAACTTAGTACAACATAGCTGGAATAAGCAAATCCAAACTAAGATGGGAGAAAGAAAAGGTCTGAGATGAGATGGACTTTGGAGAATTTGTGATGAGATCATTGTCGATTGGAACCTTCCTCGAGATATCTATTTCATCAGAGCTCTAAAATCCCTCAAGTAGACTTGAGAATAAATCGATTTCTCTTAAGAAACCTGTTAAGAATTTGAATTTGAATTCTAATTCTTCCACCCGTCCTCTCGAATATTTAAACAAATTTTTTATTGATGTAACTAGCGATTCCACTTCCAGACGCCTAAAGTGTACTTTTCAAGCTTGTGATTTGTGTAGTATTGAAATGGTCATCCAATTTTTTAATTCATTCCAAATAGATAGGCAAATATACATTTAATTATCCTTTCCACGGGTTTCTTCGTTTTTTTGAACTTTTTCTCTTCAATGATCTCCTGACGAGAATAATGGACGTACAATTTGCCAAGAAATATGAATCTCGTTCTGTTCCAAATAATGGCAAAAGATTCCGGCTTTGTCTTTGTTCCACAAAATTTTTAGAAGTTCAAATCTTTTACATACTGATAGCAAGAAAGGTTTTAAACAAGTTTTTGAACTCAAATTTTAGAACTTGAAGAAATATTCTCATAAAAGCTATTTTAATTTTTCTGTCAAAGTCAGTTGATTACTAATAATTTAAGATTGCCCTTTTAGAAAAAGGTAAGCTATTTTCCCACAACTATTTTACGCCTTTATATCAGTATTAAAAACCTCTAGACATCAATCGATTTTGAGAAAGGGATTTTATCCATTCCGAAAACAAAGGAGATGCTTCATGTAGGCAGTATTGATTAGATTCATTTTGATTCAAAATTGTATATTCTTACTCACCAACAATAATTTCACAGATTATTTTTCTGATGTGATTTTATTTTTCAGAATATACCCCTCTACCATCCGCACCAATGGAACAACCATGTGGGGAACATCATGGGCAAAACCGAGAGTGTCATCATCAACCCCCACCCAGACAACCTTCGCCTCAACGCCATTGTGAAACATCGCCACCAACTCCTCCTCTTCCTCCCCCTCCTCCTGAACCCCGCAATGACAAGGATCCTCTCTTTTTTGTTAAAAAGCCTATGTGCCGGGAGTGTCTGCGAGAACTTCAGTGGAGTCGACAATTTTTCGACTTCCTCCGTAGGGACATCCCTATTTCCATGTCTCCGACTTATTCCGGATCACGATTGAGACTCCGTTCTCAACCCAAGACTCTTCCTGGGGAACAACCAATTCGTGGAGTGCTCAAGAACTCACCCACTCCACCGACATTTACTATCCATGACGAGGAGAGTTCGGAAATAGGCGCCAAGGAGCAGAGAAAGAGAGAAAGAAAGGTGAAAAAGGGCTTACATCAAGTGCATAAGGGTAAATCTGCTGCGAAAAAGCGTCTGAAGAGACCCGTTGATAGCAGCAAACTTGTCGATGCTGCGAAGAGAGGAATTCAAGCCAAAATGGAAAGTGCGAGTCCTACAGGCGAAACGTTAGTGAACCCCAGGGAAAAAATAAAGACGTTTCCAATTAAAAACTATGCTAATAAAGAGAAGGAGCCCAGGTCTGAAGAAATGCTAGATTCAATTTTGAGGAGTGCCTTGATCAAGAGATCCGAGGTGAGTGAAGTCAATCAACTGGAGGAGGCTCAACCAAGATTGGGAACTGTAACTCCACCCGCATCTGTCACTCGCGCCAAAAGGCAGATTAAACCTCTGAGTGATTCTGAAAAGGCAGAGGTGGAAGCGCTAATAAGGTTGAAGATTGATAGAGCTGTTGCTGATAGGGGAAGTATGGAATTGCCAGAAAGGGAAGAAGGAATCAATCCAAAATCCCATTCTGAACTAGAAGCAAAGCCTGGACTAAATAAAGCGACCGAAAAGACTTCGAAAAAAGCGAAAGACTTAAAGGTCCCTTCATTGTCAAAAGCAGAGGAAATGAAGACTGAAAGTATGGTAGAGGAAGATCTTCAAAATATTCCCGCATTGAAGTCAAAGATAGAAAGGCCAAAACAAAAGCCAGAGCCGAAAGAAAGAATGAAGAAGAAAGTTAACAATGTTGAGACTAGGTCAAAACAAGTGGTAGAGAAACCGGTTAGGGATTCTACTCCGTGGCTTCCACGTGCCAAAAAATCGCGGTTCGGTTCGCAAAAGGTGAGTTAGGAAGAATAAAATTTGACAATACATTGAAGGTTTTTCTTATTTTCCAACACTTTAATCAAATTTATTTACTCACAAATTCAACCATTTTTACATTAGTTGCCACCGAATTGTGGTTTACTTTTTCACTTGAGAGAGCGATTTGGAAAACGCATCAAAGCGCTCTTTATCCCTTCTCCTTATTGTAAAATAATGAATCACAATATTAAATTTGATAATGATATGTGAAAGGGGCCGGAATTGTTGTGACTTATTCCAGGATTTAATGGAAGTGTAAGCATTTATTAGGTGATTATGAAACAATGAGGATGGTTTAAGTAAGTAATTATCGATGTACTTCAGAAACACGATGAATTTACGCAAAGACCGAAAATTCCAAAATCTGAGTAACCCATGTGTTCATTCAATTGCAATTTATAGGAAAAAATGCTTTTTAGTTTTAGAATTGCAATTGCGAATGAATTTGCTGTATAGCAATTTAGTAAAATAAAGATTCTGAGTTGCTGTTATTAGCATTTTATCTCGATCAGCATTAAAAAAGACTTATGTTTCGTAAATGGCTAGATATCAGTTTTAATATAATCGAAACTGTATTGCCTTTACATATTTTAACCACATATAGGCTTGAAGTATACTTGACTCGATACAAACAACTATATAAAACATCTCACCCAAATTTAATCTATATTCTTAAGTCCTACGTTATCTTATTCAAATTAACTTATTACCTCGACAACCTTTCGATTAAATATATCGAATAATTAATGGAAAAGCAAAATTGTTCAAATTAGGATTAACTTAGTGGCCGTTTAAAGTTTAAGATTCATTAACAAAGAACAACCATTAATTTATAAATCGCTTTATGCAAATATATGATTGCGTTACCTTAATGTTATATTTAAATTTAAAAATATTTTTTGGTACATATTTTAACAGTTTTCTGACAGCGAATACTTCTGTGATCGTCATCGACCGCATCCACCACCTCCACAATGGAGAATGTTTGCCTGGGAAAGAGGCGAAATCGACTATATGGGAAGTGACCGCTTCTCCAACATTCTTGCACGAATTCGCTCAACTATTCAACAGTCTAGTGATGATGCACTTCCAATTGGTATTTGGCTATAGAATGCTAATCCCTTCCATTTTCTCTCTAGCACTTACCTATCCTTCTTTTCGCAATTCTATCAAAATCCGTTGTATCCTCTATGTGCCAATCAACATTTCAAATAACACAATAATTATCCCAATTTCGCAATTATTTTAATTTCACTTTGCTTTTGTGAATTCCAGCTACTTTCAATCGAATAATGATATTTTCCTATTGGTCCCTGTTAATTTTTTTTCAAATAACATTTATATTTTAAAATCCTCAGTCTTAGTGAAATTGAAGAGACAGAGTTTTGACCATGACATATGCTTTCAAAACCTGCAAATAAGAATTGACTTATGCGGAATGTTAAAATCCAGAAATAAATTCATAACGATTGCAAACGAGCGAAAGAAAATAATGAATATAAAATAATATATGACTGCATATAAGGACAAGAAATTTGATTGATGGACAAAAGTAGATGAGCTTATTGTACAATTACGAAATTAGAAACAGAACTGGAAAATTTCGTTGGTATTGAAATTTTGGCAATTGCTGAAATTATTTTGAATTGTTTCAATAGGCTCGAAACTAATATCTTCAAAATGTCTTTAAACAAAACAATACTTGAATATTTAAAAATCGCATGGCTGGATAAATGTCAATAATTATTATTTGCAAAAACCTTGCTCAATTTCTTACTTAGTTGCTTCACTGTAACTAATAACAGAAAACTAAAATCCAAAATATGACTTATGAAGTCATTGGTTTAAACTGGAAATACATCAGGATAATGTTAAATTTAAAATAGACTTTTAAAACATGTCCTTCACGTGGCGCCCCTGGGCAACGTAAACGCATACAGCGAAAAAGTCTATAATACGGTAGTTGGCATCTGACTTCAAACTACCATGACCCATCTGGCTGTATGTCACATTCGGACACTCTCTAGTACTCACCTTACCTTGGCTCTGATTTGTGTCCATCTATCTCTTTACACATATGAATCACTCTTCTTCCCCCCTCACGAATATTCCCCACAACGATGTTCTTCCTCCCTGCAATGTCCGAAGTCAGCTAAAGGGCTAATGTTAACCATAAAAACGCTTGCCATTTGAAATATATATATTTTCTATGTCTACCAACATATATTTCAGAGTTCTTCCGGTTAAGAGGTTCTTCATCAACTAACAAATTAGTATTTCACTGTAATATAAATAATAATAAAGGCATTTTGTATCAACTTACCTTGTATATGTTTTTTACAGACATTAATATAAAAAATGTAAATATGTGATGTCATTCCAAATGGACGAATAAATTTTAAAAAAATTGCAATAATATATCTATTGCTCAAAGATAATTTGTATTTCTTTAATATTGGTAATTGTATATTTTTATTTTTATATATATGGGTGAAAATATAGATTTGTTTAAATTCACCATCAATTTGTACAGTTTATTAATTTTGGTGCACGCTGAGAGAGTATGGCCAGACCAGGTATTTGTGCTCTTTGATAGAAATTTTGATATGCTTAGATTTTCGCGGCGGTAATCGTGGTGGTGGAAGATTTAGTGAACGCGGTACTGGATCAAGAGGTGGTCGTGGAGGCTTTGGTGGTGATCGAGGTGGTCGGGCTAGTTTTGGTGGTGGCGATGGCGACCGAAATGGTGGTGAAAGAGGTGGATTTCGCGGTGGCTTTCGTGGTGGCCGTGGCGATGGTGGTGGATTCCGTGGCCGTGGTGGTGGCAGAGGTGACAGAAACAGTATGAGGGGTACACCGCGTGGACGCGGTGGCGGCCGCGGGGGTATGCGTGGTGGCAAAAAAGTTTTCGTTGAGCCCCATCGTCACGGAGGTGTGTTTATCATAAGAGGGAAGGATGATTCTCTTGCTACTCTCAACTCAGTTATTGGCGAGTCTATTTATGGTGAAAAGAGAGTTAGTGTCGACAATGATAGCGGTGAAAAGATTGAGTATCGTATGTGGAATCCTTTCCGCTCAAAGTTGGCTGCCGGTGTTATCAACGGTTTAAAAGACATTCATATGGCTCCGGGTTCTCGTGTACTTTATCTTGGTGCTGCTAGTGGTACCACTGTGTCTCATGTCTCAGATATCGTTGGGCCTGAGGGATGTGTCTACGCTGTCGAATTCTCACACCGATCCGGTCGGGATCTACTTAATGTTGCGAAACATCGCACAAATATTGTGCCAATCATTGAGGATGCTCGTCACCCACATAGATACAGAATGCTAGTTGGTAAGTCATCAACTATGTTTTATCGATTCTTCTAGGTATGGTTGATTGTGTATTCGCTGACGTCGCTCAACCTGATCAGTCTCGTATTGTCTCTCTTAATGCTGAGCAATTCTTGAAGGAAGGGGGTTTCGCCGTTATTTCTATCAAGGCATCTTGTATCGATTCTGTCGCCAACCCAGAAGTTGTCTATGCAGGAGAAATGGAGAACATGAAAAAGGATAAATTTTTCCCGCTAGAAAAGATGACTTTGGAACCTTACGAGCGAGGGCATGCTATTGTCTGCTTTCAGTACAAAGTGCTAACTGCAGCGGTTTATCAATAATGATTCTTAATTCCCCTTCAACTTTATGTACATATATTTGTCTAAAAATTAAGTCGCAAAATAAAGAAAGCATATTTGTATTTAGTATATATGTATTTATTGATTAGTTGTTTCTGAGGAAGGGGCGAATGTAAGAAAGTGGTGATTGACGGCTTTGACTAGGGGTAGTTTCCATCGGCTAAGCATTCCTCCAATTGATGACAATCGCTTAGCAATGAAGACCCTACCAACTCGGGAATGAAGAAGTGCCATTGAACACATTATGCAAGGTTCCATTGAAAGGTAGACGTCGCAGTCTGTTAGTAGGTACCGTTCACTCTGTTTGAGGTTGAGGCTAGAAAGGCTTTTACGGGTTGGATCGATTAACCTACCGGCCAAGTTCATTTGCTGCGCGCATAGGAGCGTGGTCAATATACGATTTTGCATTTTCGGATGTCGTTTCAACTAAGGGAACTGGATTACTATTTACATCACGTTTCTTGACAGATGGTTCGTGGATTACGATACAGCTGCAAACACTGTCTGGTTTTTCAGGGTCACAAGAAGCGTTTGTGCCATCAACTGAGCCATTCTCAGATAGATTTACAGCTCGTCTTAGCCAGTGATTATGCCTGAAAAAAAATAATGATTTCGAATTAGCAATTGCCATGGACGATCGAATTATTTATCAGTACATTTTAATAATGCCAAATAATTATGAATCAAAATATGGTCGAAAGAAGCTGACTCTTTGTCAAAAAAAAACAATTATAATACTAATCCGTATTATCACCAAGTCATTTTCCAGAATAACAATGAATGACGAGGGTTGCCTCTGATTGGCAAGGGAATAATTTTTAGACATCTCACGGTTCCAAGGATTCCAATTGTACAATTAGATTGACCCGTGATAACAATAACCATAGAACTGCAACTGTCTACATTTATCCTGGGGAAATGAAGCCTCTTAGGTAAATTCCACTTCTGTTTGAACAAGATGATTGGTCTTTTGATGATGTTCGTCAAATCACAGCATCAGCATTGTAGCCACCAGTGTGTTAAAATTGATAACAAAATTTGATCTACAACAGCCATAAATAATAATAATACAGATGCAATGTAGCTAAAGCGATCGCTTTATTACTGGCATAAATGTGTGTACGTGAAGAATTTTTACAAAGTCAGAGGTTGGCGTGACGGAGGGAGGGAGGAACAAGTAGGAAAAGACGCGACTTCCTTAGAGAGACTATGACCCGACACGTCTTAGCCAAGTTAAGTGTCAAGAGATTAATTACCCTCAAAGGCTTTGAACCTTGCCTTTAAGCGCGCGATTGGTCCCTAGCTGATTAAAAACGTATAATGGGATAATAAACTCTACATCCACATCTACATCAGTGCTGATTCCTGCTAACAGCAACGAAAGAGACTTCTTTAACTGAGGGGCAAATTCAGGTCAGGATTAAAGTCTTAGAAAACATGCCACTATGTAAATTTTCCTTTTGAAGATCACCAAGTGATTCAATGATCCAGAAATGTTCAAATCAGCAGTATGCGATAAAGTTTGGATAGAAGTTGACCGAAAGCGATAATTGAGATCTATGTAAGTACCGCCAAGAACTATCGTAAAAATTGAAGTTTCAATCTCCGCAACGTTTGCCCCGAATTTTCAGTTGAAAGACACTTACCTTTACGTGAATAAGAGAAATCCAGTCAATGTGATTAAGAGGAAATTCGGGGTCCTCACACAGAAAAAAAGTAAGACAGAAGCTCTTCTAAAAAAATTATAAAACAGCAAGTACCATTCGCGGTCTTCATCTGTGAAGTAAGGTTTAGCCGAATCGTTTAACCGATCCTTCACACTGCCAAGTGAAAGAAGTGATTCCAGCTTTTGGTCTGAATGAAAGTTGAAGGGCCAGCTTCGAAGTCCACCCATGTCCTTTGTGAGAGAGGCTAGAGCTTTCTGTTGTCGACATGAACGTGGTTGACAAAGAGGCGCGAAGCAGAACTCGACTGTTGGCTCCAAGATGCCTGTCTTCTTGGCGAGTTGAGAAGCCAGGACCTTGGCGTTTTCTTCTGTAAATCTAGCTAGAAATTTTGATTAGCTTGCATCGATATTCTGAAATTTACGTCAACCGGAATATCACTCACTTTTGACTAGCAAGACCCAATAAAATTCGACCACAGCGATTCGAACCAGACTGTTTCACAAAAGCCCTTTTCAAATGGCCCAATTCTTTAGGCAAATGCTTTAATCTAGCCAATACCGAAATGCAGGAGCTCATTTTTGATAAGGGTTCCACAGTGGCGCACAAAGCAGGAACATTATGTCCCTTGGAACACCAGTTTGCGGGCTCAATAACTGCGCACAACTGATTAACATCAGTTGTAAAAGCAAATTCATTTTCTTCTAATTTTGGTCTTTTAACTGGTACTATGGATTCACTCTAAAGGGGACAAAATAAAGTAACAAGGAAATAGCTCATCAAGTCTAACCTATTGATGATATTAAACTCGGCGGACTAATTTCTAACGATGTCCCAACATATATACAAACATCTCATTTTAGAAAGCGTTCTCAGTTTTTATTTGCTTATTAATACACTTAACCATCCACATCATTAGATATGCTTCAAGTCTTCGGCTCTGATTGAATATTAGAGCCTGTTAAATGTGTTAGTATGAGTTAGGTTAAATTTTGTTGCCAATCACTACACGTCAGCTTTAGTAGTACACCAGACACTGATGGTATCTTTCCATTCAAATTGTGCTAGGAAACACTATTCCTTACATAGCCAAACACACCACTCTATTAGCGTGCTTTTCGGCGAACGTTAGAGAAGTTAGCAATCGAGTCAACTCATAGGCACCTTCAATAAATCATCATTGTAGAAAACAGGCATTTATGCATCAGGTTTCAAATCCATTTCTCTATTTACCAACTGAAGTAACCGATTTTTTGATCAGTCACAACTATGTAAGCTTAATAATTAAGTACTAATGATTCAAATAGATGCAAAACCTGCCAATTATTTTTCCGTGTTTCGACTTTACCTTATCAATTCCATTTTCCAAAGGCACAAAAGAGGTTTCGATCCCTGAGGTATTTAAAACCTTGATTATCTCAGAAATTTGTTCAGACTCTAGGTGATCACCAAAAATAAGAGAGCTTTTAGCTGCGTTTACATGGTAATCACCTATGCCTAAAATAAGCAAAATAAGTTAAAATTGGCATTAAGATTTCATTTTTAAAAGGATAAATTTTCAAACCCAAAAATTCAGAAAGCAGATGGTCGATAACACGAAGGCAATCAATGCAGTCAACTGATTTGAGACGAAGCATTTAAGCTATTGACAAATGGACATAAAATTTATGAATTTGCTTAAAAAATATAAGACAAAAAGAGAAAGAGAACAAATAAGACTAGAAAGGACTTCTATATTTTGCAACTAAGTACAAACCTAATGATTATCACTTCGGAACTTCAGATTCAAGTTTGGTGAGAGCATAGTCATGGTGAACTATTGCTTTGCCGGTAAGAAACCCACCGGCCAATAACTGTGCACCCGTAAGGAAGATTAGGGATGTTTTAAAGCTGCCACAAGATTTCCGAATAAGTCTCAATACTTTCCGCGTTTTGTTGACCTCAGGAACTGGATATGTTCTGAACGACAAAGAAGAGGCGGCACAGCAAACGAACGAAAATATAAGCGGTGCAACTACACCAGCCGTAGTCTAGTAAATAAGAAATAATTCTATAATTACTATAATCACAAAAAGCGATCAAGGAATAGTATGAACCTGGATGAGAGAACCACGAGTTTCGAAACAAGTTGGACAAAATGATTTTCTGAGTTCAGGATATCTAAGTCCAGCAACAATTTTCCGATCGACGCACAGGTCTTGAAAGATAAGATATCCAAAGGTTGGAAAAACTATACAAGGCATCGCAGTTGCAAAAAAATGGTGATGCGAGTAAAGATTGAAAAACAGCCGCATTCGAACTAGGATAAATAAACTGGAACCAGCTACACAAAGTGCTCCAATTAGCATTCCTTGAGTAGCGCCCCAGATTTCAATTTGAGGATGCCAGACAGTAATTTTATCGCGATATTCTTTTAAGGGTTTATCATAGAACGGGCTAGAGCTAGCCATCCTCTAATACTCACGAGTGACCTTTTAATTTGCTTTACCCGCTAATATTTCTGTTAAATAAAACAAACAATAATATTATTATTTATAACTCTTAACACAATACGAGCTTTAATTTTTTAATGGCACCTTCAATTTTAATTACCCTTATCGCAAATAATAGGACGTCGATCTTCTCAAGTTAGTCATTTCCACTGGAACAAATAAATCATTAAGTCGAACCTTAAGCCCACTATTCATGAAATAAGCTTACAAGACGCAACATAAGAAAAACCTCCCCATCTCCCAGGAAAATATACCCATTTCACACTAAGAACTGAAAACGGAGAAACCATCTCACAAAAATTTATTGAATTTACATTATGAAAATAGAACAACGATCACGCAAATCTAGGTTATGTAACATACGCACCACCTCAATTCCAAATCCGACTCCTCTCAAATGACTGACACGCACGTTCTATTAAAACGACCTCAGAATGCTCCCTCTAGAGCAAGTGACAAATGCGCCAAACTATCCTCGAATCAGCTACGTTCTCTCACCGCTGAAAGTCTGTTTGAAACAGCTACAGAACTGCCACAGAACACGCCAATCCATTGGATGCTCACCAACAGTTGATCTCCAAAAACCCCAGCAATATCAGTAATAAATGAACTCCGAACACCAACACTGCAAATCACCTTTCAGCAATGTCGAACCTATCAGCTGGAAACAGCTTCTCAGGTCACCAACAGCCAGCATATGTAGCACCTGGCAACCGAGATCAGCAAAACAGGGAACCATCTTACAGCAAAACAGGAAACTCCGCTACAAACCAAACAAAACGCAGTTAGAAGTCTTAAATATTTTTGTATACAAATCGTTATTTAATATCGATCTCGAGAGCGAGATCTACTGTCACGATAACGGTCTCTTCTATAACCACTGCTCCCGTGACGGTCCCTACTAGATCTACGTCTTGGAGAGTATGACCTAGACCTTGAGCGCCTGCGTCTTGGAGATGGTGAACGCCTAAAATGAAATGGCCAATCGATTATAACTTCTATTATCAGATTGATGCATACCTGCCGCCACGACGACGTGAATTCGGCCTTCCATACATAGCCCTCTGAACACGAATTTCCCTACCATCAATTTTACGACCATCCATTCCCCGAATTGCATCTTCAGCGTCGCGCTCGTTGTAATATCTTACAAATGCAAAACCCCGACTATCCATTGAATACGGATTTCTGGGTATGTAAACATCCCCTTAACCAATGAAATTTGATTAAAATAGCCAGAGTACCAACATCTCCATAACGAGAAAATATTTTTCTTAAATCATCAACCGTTGTCCTATAGGCAAGATTATCAACCTTCAAGGAAATCATTCCTTCAATACGAGGAGGCGAGCGACCGTTACTCATCTTTTCACTCATTCAAGGAGAACTACACTGACCAAGAGCAGGGATTAAAAATGGCTCGCGAGTGTCAATGTTTTTAGGTCATTTAAATAATCGTTTGAATTCAATTTCTAATTTCCTTCCATCTTAAATATTTTATAGATTTCTTGCAGCAAACAGTTTATATGTATTTAAATATAAATGTTATAAGACTGTAGACTTTACTTATCATAATTTTATTTGTTCTAAATTTTTGTTATAATCAGATACTTTAGTAACATCTAGAACAAAGTAGAAATATGAGCGTATCAGACGCATTTTCAAGGAAGTATTGGATTTATTTACATAAATTGAACACGATTTACTGTTTTTTAGATTTCGACATAGAGAAATTCATCTGGTAGGCATTATCTCACCAAACTTTCATGGACAATCAATGGGTCGCACTTGCTTGAATTTTCTTTTAAATCTCTTTACTTTCAGTTGCCTGACAATAGCCTCAGTCTTTGAATATTTCAATAGTTTCCGTCAACTCTTCACCTTCTAAATCCACAAATCTTCTTTCTGGACCTTTTCATGCACCTGCTAAAGCAGTAAATTCTCTAAGAGGGAGATGCTTTCAACCGTCTCAAATTCATAGTCATCTCGTTATCCTATTCGCACATCAACCGTTCAAAGTAAATGTTTCTTACTTCTTTGATTGTGAACTTTTAAAGAACCGCTTGCTGATCAAAGTTAACTGAATTTCTTTGTCATAATTAATACGAACTGTGCATCTAGAGCTCGATGATAGGGAACAAATTGGTTCTAAAGTACTGGGAGGAAAGGTCTTTTTAGAAACGCTAGCGCAGAATTACAAACTCCAAACTTGAAAGTAAGCCCTGACTTTGTAACCTCATTCAATCTCCAATCTTCTAAAATGAATATAAGTGGCACTCTTTCGCTTCCCATCAGGAAGAAACATGCAAAATTGGCTTAAAATAGTACAAGAGTTGTAAGAAATAGGAAATTTCAAATAAATGCACGAAGGAGAAGATTAATTATGTTCAAATAATCGATATCATTAAATTGAAATATAAATTAATTTTAAGTCTAATTGAATATTTGGGTATCCGTAGCAGTTTTAGGCTGTACATAATATTTACCAGTCGTTCGCTAGTATATTTTCTGCCATTGTATTATATCACTATTATCAAAACTAGATGGAATCCCATTTTGACGTCTCTCACCGGAGCTATTGGGATTGGAAACTTTCTGTGAGTCCGAGATTGCTAAATGTTTGATGAGAATTCTTTGAATTTCCATTCTGAGGGCTCATTCCTTCAACGACAGCAAATCTCGCAGAGTTTCTCGATACTTTCATATTTTTAGGCTGATCCAACGAAACAATATTAAATCCACTGGTTTAACCTTGTGTTTATTTTGAAAAGACTTTAGACAGTTAAAATATTTAACCTGAGCTATCACAAGTTTAGATGGAATTTGTGGACAAATTGGCCGAAAATATTAGTACGAAATAACCCACTTCAAACCTGCTCCAAATAGTAGCATTGCCTTTAATAGCAAATGTTCGTTATAAGTAAGCTTAAGATGGTGAATCGAATCGTAGACCCTCGTTGAGTTAGTATTTGGGGTATATTTCTCGAACGTAGGTTGGGAATTTTGGAGAATATTTGCTTCTTGATACAGCAAATGGGATATCCCCAGGAATTACATCACTAAATGCATCCACCAATAAATCTTGCTGATCTACCATCTTAAATAATAATTAATAAAATTGATTTATTACTCTCTTGCTACGTTAAGATCAGATAAGTTGTTAAATGCCATATTAGCTCATTTTTACCAGCACAAGCCTTGAATAAATTATTTGCGGTAGGAGAGCTGACTATGATATTTAAGCAACCGGAGAGCATGTACTTGAAGAAACATGTAATGAAATTGAAGTATTTATAAGTAATTATTTTCACTTTCCACCTCCCGAAGCCGTCTCTGATGACGTTCGGTCAAATCGGATTCTTTCCGTAAATTTGATCTACTCTAGTCTAGTGGAAGATATATCATGGCCACAGAACTAGATCTCCTAGCAGCACTACGGCAAAGTGGAGTTTTCCCTTATGTAGAATGCTTGCCCAATTCAATAAGACGTTAACATACATCTCTTACATCTGGTGAGTAGATATCGAAGGGAATAGTTTTGCTGCACATCAACTACATTCGAAAAAAAAACGAACAGCCATGGAAGCGTTCTTATGAAAAATTCAAATTTTGCGAAAATCGGTCACTGAATGTGAGCTGATTCAAATAGATCAAGTGATCTTCGATATAGTAAACAAACGTATTGAACTCAACGCCAACAGAAATCATAAAATTACAACTTTCTCACCGTCTGATCAATCCATGATTACTTAATAATAAGAACGTATGCAAGAAAGCTCCTGCCAATTGTAATATCCCCTTTTAGGGCTACAATCAAAGGTGTTGAGAAGAATTGCCATATTTGTCAATAACCCACAAGTGGGTATCGAAGCCATGACCTTTATGCCATTGACAACCAAACACTTCGTTTCTTTTATTAGATCAATGTGACTGTAATGGGCAACAGTACTTTTCAGATCTGCATGATCATTAATAATAGCGAGGAGAAAATCAGATCAGAGCAAACTCACATTAAGACTGTCAAATAAAGGCATATTACTGGCCCAGTTAGCATAATTCTCTATAATGCAGGCTCTATCCACTGACGTACCAAGTAGATTCTCGGTGCGCTCCAAAGTGGATAGTATATCTGCCGGAAGAAATTGAAATGTCACACAGGTGGCAGAGGACTTCGCAGCTCTTTCTCCTCCAGAAGGCTTCAGCAACAAAACGCGAGGTTTAAGTTTCTTTGCAGCTGCTCAAACAAAAATTAATTAAAGTTGTTTGAATATTTATTTATTTCAAATGGCAGGCTTTGTGATATTTATCTTTAGCCAATATATATATATATATATATCAGAACGATCAAGCAAATAGTGAAAGCACTCATGACTTATTTTGCGTGTTCAATGATAGGCTTATGATGCATTTATTTAAGTTTGCAAGAACGGTGGAAAATGTCGTGATTAAATTTCAGTGATAGTTGTGTAACACCCAGTAACCTGACATGACGAGCTTGATGGCCCAATGACGTTTGCATAATTCTTCCACAGCACCGCGAAAATTTAATGATAACTTAGGGCGATTCTGTTTTGAAAGTGTTTATGCTTGAAAGTGGGGTGTGCAATAGACTTACCTCCATGTGGTGCACACTGGGCAACGTATATTCATACAGCAAAAAGTCCATTAATTGGCAGTTGACTTCTGACTTCAAACTACTATGACCCTACTGTATATCATATTCGACCACTTACATAGTACTCATCTTACCTTTTTGTCTGTCTCTCTTTTGCATTTGTGAATTAAGGAGGAGAACATCGAGGTCTAATAGGTGTCAAGGGGACACAGATCTAGTTATTGATCACCTAAAGGAGTATTCCCATTTCTTCATTCTTTCAAACATACTATTTTGGAGAGAAATTATTNGGGGGGAAGAGGAGAAGGTGAAAGGAAAAGGGATTAAAAACCAACACACTCGAGTATCGCCATTCTACTGACCAAAATCACACACGATTGATAAAAGGTTAAATTCGAAAAAAAACTCTTTTTAAGAACTTGGGGAAGATAGGTTAGGAAATAGGTAATGCAAAACATCTTCTAGCAGGGAAATTAGATATATGGGATTATTTATAATGCACTTAAAGTGGCAATCAACTGGGACCTGTTTGGCTACATCTTAGAAGTAACCAACACTTGACGGAGAAAGCTACTAAACAATCGCTCTTTTAAGCTTTAACAAATGCTAACAACAGCCTGATAGAAATATGGCAAAGATAACAGTATATAGATGAAGCTCTCTATACAGAATTTCAGTATTTGAAATGAATCAACAAGGTCACCACAAAATAGTCTACCATTGTTTCTCTCCAAAATTCCAGTTCAAAAATTTGGGTGGAAATGTCTAGCTCGATTAATAATAATTTTAACTTATAATAGAATTGGAAACTCGATTGCATTTCACGCAATCAAATCAATTTGACCGATACCAAGATAATGAAGGGAAAAATAATACGAATGAACGAAAAATGTAAAATCCTAGTTAATTTGGCTAATTTAGTAAGTAGGATGTCGCAAATTTTTAGATATTAATATTGACAACAAAATAACCCGGTATCCAAACTATTTGGTTTAAATATGGTTTTAAAAGTCCTCTAATCTGCATTGGATTTAAAAGAATAACCCAACAGATAGCACTTATTTTAAACAAATTACAGCACTCTTTCCGGGACAGGCATCAATCAACGGCTTGACTGCAAGCTTACTGCTTAGTCACTGTCGTCAAAAGTCAGTGAATAATTGCAAAAACTGTATTTAGCAATCTATCGGGCATACGTAACAGTCATCAGGATCTACTCGCGATCTTTAATTGGCATGACAGGTACAGACACTTATGAGAAATTCTCGCAATCTACATGATATAATCGCAAATCTTGGAAGTTTTCCGCCAAACAGGCGCTTAAAAATCAGAAATTAGATGCATCAGTTAGCTGAAAGGAAGTGTCGAGACAACGTTTGTACTAAAATTTATTGATAAAAACGTTTCAGTAAAAAACTGAGTGTCTTATTACTCTCCTGAGTAAACAGGAGTTCTCAATCATCTTTGTATAATGCCTGATTGTATGTTTGTGTCTTTTAAAAGCTTCTCAGAGCTGCAGATTTACTTAATAACGCCCAAAACATTAGGACAAATTCACCTTTTGTTCATAAAAAACTTTCGGTTACTCAGATCGTAAACATTGATAATCCCTATTAACGGCAACTCCCACTTCACTGTCCGTTTTGCGCGTTTGCCTAATTAATTTGAAGTAATTAGCTGACTTTAATCTAATTCCTCATTTTTTTAAAATCCTTGGTATGTAAACTGCCAAACCACTTCCTAGTAATTAGTAATTAGACTC